AAAAGTGGTGGAAGTTGAGGTTACTTTGAGAAAATTTCCCTTTTCACATGACCTATGTACCCCCTCCCGCCCCCTCCCCTTAACGGAAAATTTTCTGTGGAAAAAACTGGACTGGAAAATGTGGGAAGTTGATAGATAGGTGTTGGGGAAGGGGAGGGGTCGTACCGAGACCCTCATTCAGGTGCGGGGGGGGGGGTCGTACTGACACCCTGTTCCTGAGGGGGGTCGTACCTACACTACCATTTCAAACATCACAAGCTGTACCCTGCGAGCCAGGCCGTTATTCTCCCGCAGCCAGCATATTTTACCCTGAGGTGTCCTTGCCATGCGCTTCCGATTCGCAGAATTCTCGCAGTCTCTAAGGTTACGATCTGTCAAAGTTATTCGCGGAAGGGGTCGTACGTATCAGCTAAGGCAGCGTTCATACTTCGCGACAGCAGCGGCGACCTCGGCGATCGATCGTCGGTACGTGGCAGAGCGCGCCCCAACGCTATTATGGACCGCTCGCTTGATAAATAAGGAATCCAACTTGTGAGACCTTCTTTTCTCTTAATAATGGCTACTAACTGATAACTTACGACTTTCTATACATAAGCGGATCTGGAATATGAGGTAAGGAGGTTTCACTTCTTTTTAGGTCGGGATAAGGCCAACTCCATTTCCTGGGTGAGCTTCTTTTTGCTTCTTTTGTTTTTATTGTTTCAATTTATACAAGCGCCTCAAAAGTTCCTATCGTCTGAACTGTTCCAACTTCCAAAACATTTATAGCTTACAAGTCGAGTTCAAACAACGAAGAAAAAAAAAGAAACAGAAAGAAACTCACCTAGGAACCAAAACACTAATCATTTTACGCAACATCAACAGGTGAAAACTTTATAACCTCATGTATAAGCTCGACGAAAAAAGAAACAATAAAAACCTACCCTAAATGAAGCTCTCACGCTTTTTGCTCATTTCTATCCTGAATCAAGAAAGAAAATAGAAATAAAAGCCATTAGAGGGTTCACCTTTCTTCGTGTCAAACCAAGCTTCAGTACCTAAGAAAATTGCAGTTAAAGGAAAAAAAGCATGAAATTGAGTCGCTTCTTCCCAAAAGCCTTCGGAGCGCAAGTAATAGCGTTGGGGCGCGCTCTGCCATGTACCGACGATCGCGGCGATCGCCGCTGCTGTCGCGAAGTATGAACGCTGCCTAATCGTGGACTATACCTTTGAGTCGTGTTATTTGTACACTATTCTCGCGGAAGACTGGTAAGTAGGGTCCTTTGTGGTGGTACGTGTAGTGTTCTATGTGTTGACCTCTATTCGTGCATTCATCCCTTGATACGTTTAACAATCCTCTGGTCATAGTCATCTTTTAATCTTACGGTCCTTCCAGAACAGACATCTAAAGCGGGATAAATTGCATGGCAAACTGAGCACTCGCTTCCGTAGAACCTGGTGTTCGCCACGCGAGGGTGAATCGGTGCGTAGCTGCAGCAGCGTGCCATTTTCTCCGCTCAAAATTGCACACGAATGATGAAAGACAAGGATCCTTTGGTTCCGTCTTCCAAATCCATCCGCGCTATTTTTAGCCCTTGCGTTGATACCAAGATCAAGCAGCGAACCACACTTTCAGTAGTGGATAACAATCAGAAGTGAGAGGGCGCGGTCAAGTAGTGCGCTCGGCTATGGTTAGGTGAGGGCTAGTCGTGCGGGAGTCGGGAGCACTGCCCGGGTGTCACTGCCCTCCACTCCCGCTCCCCTGCAGTAAAAAGCGGAGAAACTGACACGCTTCCGCAGCTGCGGACCCATTCACCTCGCACATGGTAAGCACCACGGTCCACGGGGTGATTGTAGAGTTTGTCTTCGAGCACCCACGAGACACTTGTTGCAAAGTATTGAAGGCAAAATGCTTCATCGTCCATTTTGTTTCGTATTTATTCTTTGTCTCTCTAGATCGACCCAAAGAAACATCAGCTGACGATTGACGGAATGGGAATCAAGCGACCAGTGAATTTATCTGTAGATCAGTTGAAGAAGAATTATTGCCCAGTGTCAGTCACGTCCGCGATACAGTGTGCCGGCAATCGACGAGCGGACATGAACAAGTAAGCTGATTAGCTCCCGTGGCTTAGAGTCACGTATACCAAGCGTTCATTGCTAGTGGCCTATCACCCTAGTGTTGCAAACTGTCGTTGACACAGATTCTATTATGAGCTCAGAAATTATGGAGTAGGTCTTTATTCAGAAATACTCATGAAAAACCGGCAAGTATGGCTTTCACTAAACCTCACATAGTAGTAGAGTAAGTCTCCTGGCTGAATTCCCGCGAGGTCGCTAGATTACTGGCTTCCTCGTACAAAATCGTCAGAACACTTCAGAGCCTGGAAATATAGAAAAAAATTGATGAATAGCTGAACAAGCGTTCTACAGCCATGTTGAAGTTGACATCAAAACAAGTTCTCACTTGCAAGCAAGAGCACTCACCGTGACTCAGATTACCGAGACCACCCGGGAGCCGGCACTTATAGTGTAGTTCGCTGCGGACGGTTGAGCGTGTCCCCTATCAGAGCCGTTCTCTGCCTTCTTGTTGAAGAGCGCATGCGACAAAAAGTGGTAGAAAACGAGTAATACGAAGCATATGATACAGTATTGTCACTTGCCCGCTTCAACAACTGGTGTAGAACGAGTTTGGCACCGCGCCAAACGCACTGACACGCCCAACCGTCTGCAGCGAACTACAGTATACCATTATACCGACCTGGACTGTATGGACTAAATTCAAGGGCGCCACTGGAAAGTCGCTCCCGGGTGTTCTTGAAGAGGAATAGGTCAGAATCGGCAAGCGATTTCCCTTGCGGTTAGGTGATTACCTGTTTTGGTGCCGATTTTCAACACGGCGCGAGTAGAAACGTTTGATCGGGTGGTGGGTCAGTGATTAATGAAACAATTGCACTTAATTAAGGGTGAATCGCATCCTAGCTGCGAGACAGCTTCAACAAGGTGCGAAGACTTGATGCTTGGCTGCGAAGGGCCTCAGTAACGAGAGGGGACTCAGAGGTCATCTAGTTATTCGAAATTTTCACATCTACACTTAAAAGGATTTAGCCCAGCGAAACCGATTCACATATTCATTTCCAACGAACTCTTTCGTTACACCTGCATACTGCTAAAATGCTGCTGCCTTCCTTGGGGCGAATTTTTTAGTGGTGACCTCCTCACCCTCCTATATGATCACCAACTCATTGGCTGTATGTACCAGGGTGCAGCACAACGTCTCGGAAAATGGGGGTTTGTACGCCCCCCCCCCCGGTGTTCCTACGATCCCCTCCTCCTTAGTTATTATGAGTTGTGTGGGGATATCCATTGTGTTCATCAGGATGTTAACGGCGCCGCCAAACGAAACAACACGAAGGCGAGGCATTGAGTTACGCGGCTGCGT